TTTTTTTTTTTTGACACACAGCTCAGCTTGCAGGATGGACAGACAAGCTGTGAGGCCAGGTGTGGGACTGGAAGAGGCAGCAGGCAGATCAGGTTTAGTCCCCAGGGAACCACCACTTTCAGAGTCTGCATTAGTGTGATAAATTACTTCCAAGGTACGGCTTTTTTCTTTCTCTCCTTCTCACAGGGTTACAGCATTACGAGGGTAAATTTAGGGCTCCAAATACGAGCACCTAAGGTGAGATGAGGAGAGAACAATCACTGCATCAGACCCATTCCTCTCTTGCCATTACAAAAGAAATTACACGGATGCAGTCATTAGAATGCCATCCGTCATTAGCAACACAAGACTATGATATGTCACTCAGTGCAATTCAATCACGAAAAATCTAGGAGGCAAAAGGAGGGAGGACAAAGGCACAGGGAGGGGATGTCCGCTGAAACACCCAGCCCTGCACATGCACAGCAATGGGCACAAAAATGGCACTCACACAGCCATATGGCTCTGGCTCCCAGTCTAAAAGCTGGGTAAAACCCACAGGAAACAATCTTGGAGGTCCTAAATAAGATATGTGGCTCAGCTCACCAGTGAGGTATGGTCCAGAAGAGGAAGGGAGCATTTAAATGGCAGACACAGGGATTCTGATGAAAGCCAGAAAGCAGTGGACAAGGTGGAATCATTTGTAACAACTAAATTTCTCATTAAGGCAAAACCTAAACCAACACCCTCCATCCTCAGCATGGTGGGAGGCCTTTTTCACCACCCTTAGGATAAACAGATGGGCTGATTCAAAGGAGGGAGCACTAAAATACAAAAAACCATGAATACGTATGGAAATACTGAGAATGCCTTTCTAGATCCCTAGAGCGAGGTGTGTGGCTGGGGGAAAATCAGGCTCCTACTGATAAGAAGGGAGATTGTTCTTCTCTTATACCCACCTCAAGCTGCCTCTGATGAAACTGAAAGCAACTATCAGATTAGCATAGAGAGATACACGTGAGAAAGAATCAACTGCTCCCATATTAAAATGTATCTGAAATGAAATGGTACAAAACAGCAAGAGAAGTCAAGTGGGATAGGAAGGAAGAACCACAGTACTGGTGGGTTTGAGTTTATCAAGTTATACTGATTATCCAGGAGCAACAAATTCCAGCTGAATTTGAGCAGCTACCAACAGTATTACAGGAACGGCAGAAGAATGCAATGAATATTGCTGTTTGTTAATTAAGAAAGCAAGCAGATGGTATAGTCAAGCCACAGGATGATACAGAAACTTCTTCTCCAAATGACATTTCAGGCAGATGTGAAACAACAGCTAACAGAGCTGGTCGTTTTAAGTTGGGAGATCTTCATAGAATCCTCAGAGTTGAAAGGGACCTTTAAGGCAATCTGGTCCAACCCCCCTGCAATGAACAGAGACACCCACAGCTTCATCAGCACTCACAGCTCCATCCAGCCTGACCTTGGTTGTCTGCAGAGACGGGGCATCCACCATCACTCCGGGCAGCCTGTATCCCAGGGGCTTTGATGGAGTTGCATAAGAAATCCTCTGAACCACTGCTCAGCAAGAGTTAATTTGAAGATTTGGGAACACAAAGAAACGCTGTTGTACCAAGATTTTAAACACCAGGAGGACGACCAGGCAACAAGGAGCATTCAGTGCAGCTCACATCACAAGGAAGACGAGGGATGCGCTGCTATAAATTCTGATTAGGAATCACAGGAAGCAAATAACTGATGTTTATCAACACAGATCAGTTCTGTGTGTTTTTAGCAGGACTGCAAGACTGCCTGCAAACCCTAACAGCTCTGATGCAATGTACTTGGAGTTCTGTAAATCATTTAACTTTGCAAAGCAGCATTTCCAAAGTAACTGGAATTGCATTACGTAACACAGAATACATTAAATAGATTAATAATTGGCCAAGTAACAAGTCATAAAATAGAACCAGATCATCATTAATCAGGTGCTCGGGCTGAAATCCCAGAGGAATCAGCCCTTGTGCCCTACATTACTCATGTTCCTACAGGTCAGGAGCAAAAGCCACTGCATCTCCAATTCACACTGGCTCCTACAGCTGCAAGTGGTAAAGGACACAACATCAGCATCCGTCACCAAAGTGACTACAAACAAACGTGTTGTACATCTTTATCATCGTCTGCAAACTAACAGGGCCAGATCCCCTCTCTCCAAGCCAGATGAGCTGTAGCAGAGAAGGGATGCAAGGGTAGCTCCATGCTAGCAGCTTCTTGCTTGGTGCAAGAATGAGGGAGCAGCAACTGAAAGTAGCAGGTGGCAAGTCCAAACCCAAACAAGAGGCAGCAGTTTTCTCACACACGACCCAGCACGGCCGTGCAGCTCCCTGCCAAAGGATGCTGTGCACACTGCAAGCCTGTGAGAGCACAGGGAGGACTGATGAGGCACACAGCAAAGATCCACCGGCGGGGAGCAGCGGGATGGAAATCATCTCTGGCTGAGAGAGTCCTGGAGGTGTTAAACGATCGGGGGCCAGAGAGCTGGGGAAGTGTCAGACAGCTCTCACATCCCCGTGGAGGCTGCACTTTTGGAAAGAGGTTATCTGTTAATGCAGAGCTGCTATTTGCTGCAGAGCAAACATCTTGCAAAGAAGTAACTTTGGGGAAAAACCACTCTGACGATGGAGAAGTGAGTGCATGCAGCTCCCTTTGGCAGCAGCACACCAAGCTCTAGCAAAGCACTGGCACACAGTAAGGCACTGGCATGGGTCACTCAGAGAGTAGTGGATGTCCTGTA